CCATAACCGCACACCGGTTAAGTACTACTAAGCTTGGAGGTGCATCGCCTCTGGTTGCTGTAGCCGCCTCTAAGAGTGAGCACTAACTGCCTGGCTTGTTTGGCCTGCTCTGATTCAGTCAAGGTGTCTTGGGGGATGACCCAAACTTCTGCCATTACCTCCGTGGCTTTTCAGGAAGAGTTTGAAGGCACTCCACAACAAACTGTATATTGGATCATTTCATTTTTCCTGCAGGTAAGCTGGCAAAGGCGCAAAGCTTGCCATCTAAGGATACCAAGGTTAATTCCAAGGCTCTTCTGACAAGTCATGGATAAATTAGGACCCGAAGAAAATAAATTCAAAAAGTCAACTATTTTAAATTTCATACTTTTCAACACCTTGTTTTCCCATTTCATCCAGGTCTTCACAAAGGCTGGATTGGCCAGCACCTCAACTGGGAAGCCAGACCTGGAAGTTCAAGTCATCTAGTCACACTCAAATTGTACAACGAACTCCATCTGCTTTCGCTTTACTTGGAATTGTACTATCAAGTAGATTCCTGGACTAAACCTTGTTCCAGACACTGGCCACTGAATGCAATCTCACCTTGTGGACTTCACAATGCATTTTTAATAAGGCCCCTACCCCCTCTGAATTTGCTTATTTAAAATTTCTTGAAAAACAATACATAACAAAACCCCCAAACTCTTCTTCCCAAAACCCAAATCATGAAACTACGAATACTGAAAGGCAACAGACACGTCTTTGAAGGATACATACTATTCAAAAGTAGTTTTCCTGGAATCTATCATTTGCATTGCACATCAGCGCGTAAGGGATGCCACCACACACGTTTACCTCGTCCTATATGTGCCTTGCTGTTTCCCTGTCAAAGCCCCCAGGGTGCCATCACTACGGAATTTGAAGAGAAACACTCTCCATTCTTGCGGCTCTCCTTACCGGTGTAACTACGGAACTTTTAGCTGGTGAGTCTTGAACTTGGGGCTGGGAATCCCCCGTGTACTGTCCACGGCCCAAACAGTGCAACTCCAGGAGCTCTCACCTGTGGGAGGCTGGCTTGGACGTGGAAGTGATCCCACGCTACTACCTGGTTTTCTTCAGAGTGGGTTCCTCTTTCTAGCACCAAATGGCTTCTCTGGTAACAACCAAGTAGGTAAAACACAAAAAAGTCTTATATTACTGCAATTGCCTGTCCTGGGAAGGGGATGGTATTTCTGTTGGCACCTTTTACAAATCCTGGATCGATTCATGAGAGACCAAGTGAGTCTCTGAAACTATCACCGTCTTCCATTTGGTGACCGAGTGAAGGCTTTTAGAGGAAGCACTGCTAAAGGAGAAATGAGCACAGTTTCTAACATAAGCATGCCCCTTTCTTACAGAAGCCCTAGCAAGAGTTCTTAACGGTGTTTTGGCTGTGCCAGCTTACACACCAACTCATGAGAGTGCACCACAAGTTTCACAGCTGCACAAACACCTGCAGTGAAAATGAGGTAGTCCTGGGAAAGCAAGGACTTCATCTCCCCTGAACCCCACCAGGCACTGACTTCTCAAGTCTCCCCTTTAAGAAAAAAACAACTGCGATGGTGGGTGGGTGGGAGCCAGCTTCCATCATTCAATACCACCAAGGGGAACAAAAACTTGGGAGACAGTTGGTGTTCCTTAGGTCTTTTTATATTGCCAAGTAATAAATCTTCACACAAACAAAAAGTCCACCTCACAATGTTTTTGTATCTGAGTTAGCAAGTATATATTAAAGTAATTAAATTACTGGAAAAAATATGCTCAAATACGCATTTTTTTCTACATAGCATCTGGGGCAAATCTTTCCCAAGTAATAAACTCTCTAGTTTAAAGATGAAGGGGACCCACTTTAAGCCCTAAGGCAAACAGCAGTGTCTACAGACAGTTCTCCCTCGATGAACATCACAAGTCAGCTCTGGTCAGGAGGAGCTGACATCAAGCAACTCTGGTTTCAAGGCAAAACCATGTCTTCTCAGGAGAGAATTAAAGACTGTCCCTTCTCCTAGGACAGTTTCCAAGGGCTTCATGTGATCTAATTCTATAGCTTCTGTACCTAACTGTATTAAAACACAAATGCTTTCTAATATTTAAAATATTTCCCCTCCAGTTTTCTTCTTTCCCCCCTTTAGTATCAATGCCAATCTCTCTCCTTCCAACTTACCTACTGGTGAAACTCCCGGTTTTCTATCTCCAAATGATCTGCTCTACAGGGATACAGTAATGCACTGTGTGGCTAGTCGTTACACCAACAGACTTTTTATGCTTTCATATACACTGATGACAAAGTATTGTTAAGAATCACCAGACTGTGACTGTTTAGTGGTAGGGCATCTCCTGAACCTATAAACAGAGTTCTGTGAACTGAGAAGCTCACTTTAACTTCCCAATTGACTATTTAAGTGCCCTGATTGGATAAGGCACTCTGGCGGTGCGGTTGGTTAAGCACTGCACTGCTGACCACAAGGTTATCGGTCCACACCCAACAGCTGCTCAGAAGGAAAAACATGAAGCTATCGGTTCCCATAAAATTGTACAGCTTTGCAAACCCCACATATGAATTGGGTTTGTTTGGGGTTTATATGATTTGGAGCCATTACAGTGATCTTGATATTTTCTAGTATGCTCTTAAGGCTATTCTAATCAAATACATGATTCTGATATTGAAGATGAAGGCAACAGTGTATCTCCAGAGGAAGTGTGTGCAAGATCACATTGCTTTGATGGGAGTGTTCCATCAGGGCAACGCAATGCAGAAATCCAGACAACGCTGTCCAAGTTTCTCCCTCTCAGAAAGTCAAGGCAGACAACTCCCCCGCGGGTCTATCTAGGGCATATTATTCCTACTGAGCCGGGAAGACTCACTGCCATCAAGCTCGCGGACCCCACTGAACAGAGTAAAACTGCTCCTGTAGGTTCCTGAGGCTGCATTTTTAAATCATTTTAGTGGGGGCTCTTACAGCTCTTACCACAATCCATCCATCCATTGTGTCAAGCACATTTGTACCTATGTTGCCATCATCATTCTCCAAACATTCTCTTTCTCCTTGAGCCCCTGGTGTCAGTGTTTGGTTGTTGTTTGTTTTTGAGGCTGTAAAAACGTTAGGGCGGTAGATAGAGCCTCATCTTTCTCTTGAGTGGGTTTGAACCGCTGATGGTGCAATTAGCAGCCTAATGGGTCATTCACTACACCACCAGGGGCCACTAAAATAGTTAGAAGACAAAGGTTATTTGTGGTGGAGCTGTGATGCTGTTTGATATGTCTAAGAATCCGTTCTTTTGCTCATTTACTGGCGCTTCTCCTCGGCATTATTCCATTCCTATCTTTTACCTGCTGGCTAAAGACAAACCACTGGGGACTGGTGTCATGACTCCGACCTCGGTTCATGGCTAGTCAGGAAGCCTACTTCAACCTCATACCCAAATGCAGAAACCATCTTTCCAAGGGTACATTAAAGAGCTGAAAAGGATGGGGAGCGGGGGACGACGACGACCATGGGAGGCTGGAGGGCGCACGAAGGCACCAATCCCTGCACCCAGGCTCTCCCTTCCAGAAGTGACCTCTAACCACGCCGCACCCATCTTCCTATAGTGAGTCTGACACAACACACTTTAATTACTGGCTAATGCTGAATTTCAAAGACTGGTGCCCAGTGATAACAGCTGTTCTAGAAAGCAAGGTAAACTTCAGAGAGTATAGTACAGTAGGAAGGGCACTGGTTCTGGAGTTTGACTTCCTGGGTTCAAGCTCTAGCTACTCTCTACCTGTGTGACTCTGGACAAGTTGCTTCTACGACTGCAGGTCCTCACCTGTATCACAGGGGTGACAACAGCGTCAACACCCTCATAGGTGCTCAGAATTATACAGTAAGGCATGTAGACTTTAGAGGATGATTTGGCTCACCATAAGCATTCAATATTCTGTTAATGTTCATAGCTATGTATTTCCCCCTTGAAATTAGAGTAAGAAAAATATGAAAATGGCTAGTTACTAAAGGACTGGCTCACCATTAAAAGCAAATAGGATGTAAGTTAAAAATCATTTATTTCAGCTATTTGTAAAATTTTAAAATAAAATGTTCAATCCAAAAGACATGAATTATCTGAAGTAATAAAATAAGGAGTTTAAGAAAATAAAACAATATTGAGGTAGAACTGGTTTAGTTATATTTCTGAATATTCTCAATACCTCCCATCAACTTTTGTTTTGTTGATTTCTTAAACAGACAAACTTACCAAGCCCATGTTTGCTTCCTTACAAAACTGATTCATTTCTTTTCAACTGTTCCAATTATAAAAGATATTTTGCTTTCATCTAA